GGGACCGTGGGGGGGGGGGGGGGGGGGGGGGGGGGGGCGGGGCGGGGACCAAAGGTGTGTATTTCAGATCGCGGTGTACGTGAGCGACGCAGGCCCAGCACCCGGGTCTATCCCCGACGCGGGATCGGGGCTGCCCTCGGTCGGCAGCACCGGCGTCAAGGGTCGGACCGAGGCCAGGCGCACGGCCGAGCTGTCAATCCGCTGTATGGACCGGGCCAGAGCCAGGCGATCGGCGGCGAGGGCCACCCGTTCGGCGGCAAGCTGCTCGCGCTCCCGGGCCAGGCGCTGCTCAACCGCCTGCACATGGGCAAGACGCAATTCAAGACGTCGAGCCTGCAGCGTGAACATGGCCGCCAGCTCCGCCTGTATCCGGCGCTCGGTCGCCCGCGCGGCCAAGGTCGCCCGCGCGGCCAGCGCCCCGGCCGCTTCCGAGGCCAGCCGAGTGGCATCGGTCTCCATGTCGGCGGAGGGCGCCCCCTTCTCTTCGATGGACTCCAGGTACTTTTGGCAGGCGACATCGGCCGCATCACGCACCGCCTGGGCCACGGGCTCCGGAAGCCCGGCCACCAGGCGCTCGACCGTCTCCCCGGCATCCAGCACCCCGGAACTCGGGGCCTGGCCATTGGGCCCTGCCATGATCGGGGGGAGCTTCTCTTCGAGAAGACGATCCTCGATCGGGAGCTGGAGGAACTTCAGCAGGCATTCGTCGGCCGAGCGGGTCCCAACGTGACGAGCCACCTGTTGCCAATTATCCCGGAACATGTCCAGCGCCTCGAGCAGGAGGAACTACCACGAATGAAGGCCGCACGGTCAGAAGAGGAACGGTGTGCGAGACCAGGAGGACAGAAAGACAGGCGGAAGGGGGGGGGAGGAAGCAGGGAAAATCGAGGAACACAATGCCTAACACACCAATTCGGCCTCTGCCCAGTCGGTACCCGGGCCGCCGGCCGCCGGCGGCAGCATGCCCACTCGGGTAAAGTCGCCCGAGGTGAAACTATTCGGGAAGCGCCCCTCCAGGAAACAGCCCTCGCACAGATCGAAGGGGATATCCTGCTTGGTGGTGTGGAAACGGGGGCCAGACACGCTGCAGCCACAGGACCAACAGACGATGGTGCTGGCAGCCGCCGCGACCCCGGCCGCAGTCGGGGGAACCGGGCCGGACACCGAGGTGGATCCCGTGGCGCCAGTTTCGGAGCTCGCGCTACCGGACTCCGGCTTGGCAAGCGCCAAAGCACGGCCATCGGCGCCACCGGTGTACACCCGGTGCCGGGGGGGCACAACAGCGAAGCCGGAGCGCAAGTCACCGGCGGGGCCGGCATTTCGCGGCGCCTGCGGGGAGGTGGTGCCGAGGGTGGCGCCTGCCGCGAGGGCCAGTGCCCCGGCCGGATCGCCTCCCGGCAGGTCGAGCGTCACCTCGAAATGGCTGGTCAAGGAGGGACCCAGGAGCGAGGGCCGGGTCTCCGGGTGCGCCTGGTAATTGATCAAGCCCCACTGCTCGAGGAAGGCATGCACACGAATGATGGCACACACATCGCCGGCCAGATTTCGCCGGGCAGCAGTCACCGTCAGATACTCGTCCGGGTTCAGCCGGTATGTGTTAATCAGGAAGTCCCGATAGTCGCGGTATAGTTCCGGGGTTTTGGACAGCGATCCCGGGACAAAGAACTCGGGGAGGGCCTCCTTCTCATTCTTTGATGGGACATTCGGGAAGGAGGAGGGGGAGGGGGGAGGGGGGGGGGGTAACAGGGTTGAGACGCGACATGTAAGTATCGGGTTTGGTGGGCAGTGGCAGGGGAGAAGTGGGAATCCACGAAGCAAGAGGACACACCTCGTGGATGGCCGCAAAAGAAAACCAAGCAGCGTAGCTTGGGATGACGATGCGCCGGCGCTGCTGGGCCAGCATCAGCTCGATGACATGCTGCGAGGTGGTCTTGGACAGGGTGGCCGGGGGCCCCTCCTCCGGCCGAGATGCCTCGCCATCCAGCTCAACCTTGAGGATGCTCCCATCGGCGGCCAGCTGCGGGGCAGTGACGGCAGATGCGGCTCCATCCGACGCAGTCACGTCGCCACCCTCGGACTCGGGCCCGGCGTCATCGCGCGGGCGCTTGGCCGCCGGCGAGGGGGGCAGATCCTCGGCCGCGGGCAGCGGTGTCGTCGGGGAAGGGGGTGATGAGGACACGGAAGAGGAGGGGGAGGAGGAAGAAGGGGGAGCGGCGTCGTCGCGGCCGCGCTTGCCTGCCGGCGACGCCGGGGTGGCAGGGGCGGTCATGGTTGGGCTGCGCGCAGGCAAGAAAAGGAGGGTGACGGGGGGGGGGAGGGGATACGAGAGAGGGAGGGGGGGGGAGGGAGAGGGAGAGAAGGGCAACATGTGGGTAGCGGTGTGTGGGAGCGACCAAGATCGGGCCCGGTCGGAGGGGGACCGGAAAAAATCCCCTCCACCGGAGGAGGCCCGAAAGGGAACAGGGAAGGAGGGGCCAGGGGCCGGGAAGAGGGTGACGCGTCGGCCGGCCATCAAAGTGGCATTGGCTGGAGCCAACGCGCCCTTGCATTGTGACTCGAGGGCCGGCCCTGCTTCGCCGTGCGCCTGCTGAATCCAAACGCACGATAGGCGAAAAAAGACCAGCCGCGCCGCCGGTGGATGGGCAGCCAAGTAACAGTCTCAAAGGCGCGTGTGATCGCCCCTCACGGGTTATCGCGGGCCGTGCTCGTGATCGGGCCGTGCCGGCCGCCGCCTTGTCCCCTTTTTATTTCGTGGGCTGTTGCAGGACACATGCGCGCTCCCCCAAAGGAGAGGGTGCTTCTTCGGGGGTTACAGAGGTCGCGCTGATGCTCCCCTCCCCTCGTACAGATGGGCCGATTGTCCGCGCGCATACGCGCGCCCGTGCATGCAATCCCCCTTTGGAAAGGAGGACGCGTGTTGTAGGCTGGAAGGCGAGCCGTTTTCGACCTCCGCGCGCGCGCGCGCGCGCCCAGCAGCCGCCGTCCGCGGGCGAACCACTTCATCGCCCGGGCAGAGGGGGGCCAGCGGCGGGGGATATAAATTCGCCGCTCATCTGTTGTCACAAGTAACGCCCGGCCACGGCTGAGGCACCCTGGCCATGCTCGCCCCCGCCATCCTCCGGCGGCGAGGTGCCTCGGCTGATTTTGAGGTGCACACACACACATAGGTGCCAAGAGAGGGGCTTGCTCGGACGCCAACCGGCTCCCCTCCTGGCACAAGGGTCTCCAAGCGCGCGAGTCGGGGGGGGGGAGGGTGACGCATGCGGTATCAAGCGCGAGCCGAGCACCCTTCATGGCAGGCGTGGCCCTTCCCCTCCGGTGTTCTCTCTGCCGTCGCGCCCCCGTCGCGCCTCCTTGCCGCGGTAGGACGTGCACACCCAGCACCTGGGCCCGGATCTTCTCGGGGCCCGGCTGGAAACCGCCTGAGCGTGGGAGAAAGGGATGAATTCTCTCAGGGTCGAGGAAAATTACGCGGGCATGGGAATTTCCTCACTTCGTCCCGGCGTCAAGGCCCGGGGTGGGCTGATTTGCCGGCCGGGCCCGGGCGGAGGGAGGGAGCAGGCCCGCGCCTCGAGCTCCCTCCGAGCGAGCGCTGGCGTCGCCGCGGGAGGCCAACGCCCCGGTCGTGAGGGAGATGTCTCCATAAGCCCCCCGAGAGCAGGGGTGTGGGGTGACTCGCCGGGCGCCCGGGAGATGGCGAGACCCAGCGCGACATCCGTGGTGATCTGACTGACGCCTCCGGACCGGAGCCACAGGAGAGTGTCCACCTCCTCGGGCCCACCGCGCGCGACATGGTTGGTCCTTTCCCTTGCTCGAAAGTGCGGCCAGGGGGGGGGGGGGGGGGGGGGGCTTTTCACGCACCCGGTCGCCAGCCGGCTCGAACACCCAACAGCCTGCCCCCCTCCCCCTCTCTCCTCTGCCCGTGCTCCATCTCCCCCTTCTGCTCGAGCCCCCCCCCCCCCCCTCCCCACCCCACCCCGACCCCCACCCGCGTGTGCTCAAGTCCTCGCCCACCGATGACCGTTGACCATGACCACCCCTCGCCGGACGAGACGCTGATCGAGTCCGGCAAGGTTGGCGCGCCGGGCGACGTGCCCGCGACACAGCAGCCCGAGGAGCAGGCAGCCTCAGCCTCGCCGCCGCCCACTCCCCAGGCGGCGGACCCCAGTGCCACCTCCACTGCGGCTGACGAGCAGCCCCTCTTCACCAAGGACGGCAAGGCCACTCAGCACCATCCGCAATTCAGCAGCCTGACTTTTGTGCAGATCTTCGCCACCGGTGTGTCCTCGTCATCGCCCTCCCTTCATGGCCTCGAGTCTGACTTCGCGTCAGCCTTTGCCTCGACTGCACATCCTCGTCGCCCACTTACAATATCACACACGCACGCACACACGCAGGCACCGTCATTTTGTCACCCTTCATGTTCGGCTTCCATCTGTCGGCCCTCAACACCACGGCATATGCCATGCGCTTCTGTAGCATCGACAAGATCAATGGCCTGCCGGCGTGCTTCGACGTCTCCGAGGCCGTGTGGGGCACCATTCTGGGCATTTTCTCGATTGGCGGTCTCTTTGGCAGGTGCGCATACGATCCCATGCGCGTGTGCATGCGCGTGTGCATGCGCGTGTGCACCGGACCACTCCGGCGCTTGGTCCTGCTTGTGGCATCTGATTGACCTCCTGCCCCTGGTGGCGTTGCCACCGCAACCATCGCACCCGGGACACAGTATCCCCGCCGGCTACCTGATGGATCGGTACGGTCGGAAGACCGTCCTGATCGGCAACACGGCTCTCTATGCACTTGGCGCTGTGCTTCAGTCGCTGGCCGTCGATGTGACCATGCTTGCATTTGGCCGTGTGCGTGCCATGTGGATATGCATCCTGCTCACCTAAGCGTGCCCATTTGACACTCACACACACACACACACACATCACAGTTCATCGCCGGCCTGGCCGCCGGCATCGCTCTTGTTGTTACCCCCACGTACATCGGTGAGACTGCGCCGATCAACCACCGCGGCACGCTCGGTGTCTTTAGCCATGTACGTATCTGGACCGCGCCTGTGCGGGCGCATCTCCGGCCCCTCAAAATGTGCGCCTTCTTCTTTTCTTTTTTTTTTCTGACCCCCCTCCGTGCGCGTGACGCGTAGCTGGCCATTACTCTGGGTCTTCTTCTGTCTAGCATTCTCGGTCTCTTCATGGCCACCACCGAACTCTGGCGGTGGATGCTTTCTTTCGGTGCCTTTGTGCCGCTGCTGCAGGCCATCGTCCTCCCTCCCATTGGTGTTGAGTCCCATGTCGTGCGTCTTACCTGCCTGCTGTCACCTGGCCTCCTGCCCTCGCCCCACCCATGTATATGTACATCCCTTCTTCCCTCGCCCTCCCCTCTAACAGGCACGAGCCCCTCGCCGGTGGGCAATGCTCTCCTCGTCCCTGCAACCAGTGGCTTTTGTCCCGCGGACGGCGCGACGATGCCCGTCGGTCACTGAAGCGGCTGCGCTCTGCCACGCACAACCTCGAGCGCGAGTTGGACTACGTGGAGAAGGACCTGGCGGCGGCTGCTGCCAAGTCCAAGGAGAGCATCAGTCTCATTCAGCTGTTCCGCACCCGCGGCATGCTCTTCCCGCTGCTCTTGGCCGTGGTCATTCTCGTCACCCAGCAGGTGCGCGCTCCGAAGCCCATGGCCCTGTCTTTCCCCTGTTTTCCGTTGGCGTGCCCCCTCTCTGACCCATACTTTCGCTGGGCCATTCCCCCCCCCCCGGCGCCCAGGGAAGAGGGGCAAGCTCCTCCTTCTCCCATACGCCCAACCCCTATATCAGGGACGGTATCCGCGCCCTCTTTCCCATGTACGACTCCCCTAGAAAGGATAGTCATTGCCTCCTTGGTCTGGCTTTCTTCCGCCCCCCCCCCCCCCCCCCCCCCCCGCCTCCCCCATCCATCTACCCGCCTGCTGTGCCCATCCACACAGTTGTCCGGTATCAACGCCGTATTCTTCTACTCCTTCTCCATCTACAGCCGCCCGTTCCCGAATGATGCGGACAAGATTACGGCCGGTGTCTCGGCCTTTTACTTCCTGGCCGTGGCCGGGACCATTACTGTGGTCGAGCGCCTTGGTCGCCGGCCGCTGCTGCTGACTTCGCAGATTGGCATGATGCTTGTGGGTGTTCTCTTCACCATTGCCTTCGGTCTGGACGTGACGTGCGTCGACTTCCCCTCCCGGCAGTCTGTCCCTGCGCCCCTTCTCACGCACTGCCAATGACCTGCCTCTCTCACATCCTCTCTCTCTCACACACACACACATATATATATACACACACGCACGCGCGCGCGCGCGCCCTCTCGATCGCAGTTGGCTGCAGGTTGTCTGCTGCTTCCTGTTCATCGCCTTCTTCGCGGTCGGTCTCGGTCCTCTGCCCTTCCTCATCCTGTCGGAGATGTTCCCTCCAAATGCCGTGTCTTCCGGATCGGCCGTGGCCATGGCCACCAACTGGATCGGCGCCTACATCGTGGCCCAGGTGTTCCCCCTCTTCGCGGAGCACTTCTTCGTCTACTCCTTCCTGCCCTTCGTTGGGTACTTGATCTTCTCCACTGTCTTCATGTGGCTCTACCTGCCGGAGACTCGTGGCCGCGAGGGCGAGGTCAACTTCCGGGCGATCTCGCGCATGCGCGGTGGCGGATGCGCCGCCGATGGTGGTCCTGACCCCGGTGACTCGGTCATTGTCATGGAGAAGGTTGACGGCAGCGCGGCGGCGTCCGTGTCCGCCGCTGGCCCGGAGGATGGTACCTCAACCCTTGTTTAATCCCGAAAAGAGGCATCCAGGGGGGAGGAGGGGGGGGGGGATAACGAGAGGGGCAAGCACCGGACGGCCCCCGCGATGGGGGGATCCTCTCTGCTCAGGCCGCTCTCCCTCTCTCCCCCCCCCCCTCCCCTCTTTCCCTCCTTCTGCCTCTCTCCATTCCCCCGACTCCCCTCCTCTTCCTGCCCTTGTGCTTTCTCTCCTTGTGCAAAAAAATACAGCTCCTCGGGGCAATCGCCGCGCGTGGATTACCCCCTCCACGGGCACGCGCCCCATCCCGCCTGCATCTGTCCCTCGCCCTGTGTTCCCTCGTTGGATCTGATCGGAGGCCGGGCGGCAGGGGCAGAGATGCCACTTGCATGGCAGGCGCACAGCGCTCCTCGGGGACTGAGTCCATGTGAGCAAGGACAGCGGAGGAGGCATGTGAGTGGAACACTGTTGACTTGTCTGTGTTGAACTCCATTCGTCGAGAATGGCTTTCTACGCATGGTACAGGGCCGCTACTACCGTTGGCTCTTGCGCTCCGTGGGGAGGGGCTCGCCCCGCCCTCGTCCCGCACGGCGTTCCGAACCTTGTCGGCACCCTTGCCTGGCCGCCGCACGACCGGGATGCCGGGGGGGGGGGCGGGGCGTGCGTGGGCTGTGGCAAAAGGGCGGGCACTACGCGGCCCAGGGGTGGGGCCATGGCCAGGAGCGCTAGGACCTGTGCTGCCACCGGGACTGGAGGGCGCCGAGCGCCTTGTCCGCCGGCGGCTCTCGACACGGCGGGGGAGATGACCACCTAAGAGCCGGCGGAAACCCCGCGAATGAGGGGGGTCGAGATGGCCTGGTAGATTCGCCGGGCGGCGGGGGCTCGGAATAATGGGTGGCGTCGGAGTGGAGTCGCCTGACTCCCACCGCACCGCCGGGGCACCCCCAGAAGCGGAGATGGGGCAGGGCGGCGGCGGCGGGCGGGCGGGCGGGCGGGGGGGGAGCGGGGGCGGGAATGACGGGACGCACGCCCATCGCCGGAGGCCGTGCGGAGCTGCCAGCTGAAGGCGACCTCCGTCCGGGGCCGGATCGCGGTACCCCCCCCCCCGCCCCGACCCCCCGGCTCTGGGCCACGAGCAGGAGGGGCGGGTTACGGCCGCGCGCGGGGACGCCGGCCAGCGACCGCGGGCGGGCCGCGAAATCGGATTAGGTAAGAGGGGGGCATGTTTGCTAAAGGCCTCGGGGGGGCGCCCCATTCCATGGGGACTTCCGGGGGCTGGCAGACCGGAGGCGGATTGTTCTAGCCGGACCCGGTGGCAGTGGCGCGTGGGGGCGGGAGGCGGGGGGGGGGAGCGAGATTCAATCCTGCTTACTCCAGCCTCGGACGATCACACAAAGGGATCAGAATCTGGGCAGGCCAAAAAAAGCCTGTTATATTTTATTGCACGGATTATATATCGATGGGGGGTCGGAAGGAAAAACAAACACCCCCCGGCCCTCCGGACCCGGCATCCCCGGCCTCCTCTTCAGCCAGTCTGCCCCCCCCCCCCCCCCGCCCACCCATCAGGACTTGGTCCACATGTACGTCGGATCGGGGCTGGAGCACGCGTGTGCCCAATACACACTCACACACGTACAGGCGCGCCCGCGTCCTCTTGCGCGCCTGACCGGGGATGGCTTGTTGGCCCTCGGTGCCCTGGGGACCGATATGGCCGCCGCCCCCCCCCCCCCCCCGGTGCGCACGCACCGGGGGGGGGGTGGCGGCGGCGGGCCCCACGGGCGGAATTGCCTCGGCAGCCCGCCGGTGCCTCCAACACACTCGGGTATGTGCCCTCGGAAGGTGTGTCCGTCCACGCACATACACCTCCTCGGCTGTTGCAGCCTTCTGCCCGCACGGCCTTGGCCGCTTCTCGGCCACCCGACACACCCACCCACACAGACGGACAAAGGGGGCGGAGCATGCCACCCGGGGTGTTATTACGAGGCGGGGGCATAAATAATCTCCGAGTGTTGGAGGGTACGCCCCGGAGAGAGCGCCCGGTCCGAAAGGAGCCTCTCTGCTGTTGTGCGAGTGTCGTCCCGCGTCCGCACGCCCCCACTGACCGACGAGACTCTCCACCCTTCGGGCCTCGGGCGGGGCCGGCTGTCGTCCCCCCCCCCCCCCCCCCCCCCCC